CTCACTTCATCTACCTGAAAAATGGGACTAATGCCATTCACTAAGTATTTTGTTCAGTGCTCAAATATATCCAGTGCCTAACAAATGGGGTCAAGCATCATTAATAGACAGGTATGCACAGCTTAGTAGTTCTGCTCGCCAAGCACATGTCATGGATATAGTTTCTCACTACACCAGGAAACTCCTTCCAGATAGCTGGAATGTTTTAGAGTATCCTTAGATTCTGTAGACCAGGAAAACTGCCCTGCACACTACCCACTCTCTCTTAGTTTCCATGTATTTAGACCAGGCTGTTCATTTAAATGCAAGTTACAATCAGGACTTTTCCTTGAAAACACTTTCTGGTTATATTTATTGGATGGACTCATGAGAAATCTTATTACCTTGATTTTTACACTCTTATAAATCATTTTCTAAAACCAGCAGTTCTTCCAAAGCGTATCAAGGCTGAAATTAATTTCTAAAATTTGCATCCCTTTAAAGTTTAAACAAGCATATCTTTAGCTATGGCCTATTATTGGCTGGAAGGTTAAAGTATGTATCCTATGTGCAAAGGAAATGTCAAGGACTATCAACATTTGATTTTGCTACACATTAGCCATGCCTGAGACCCTACAGTTTATAAATTTATAAACTAGCTGGAAAAGTGTTGTAAAAATTTAATATTAAAATATATCAGACTCTCACTCTGTCACCCAGACTGGAGTGCAGTGGCACGCTCATGGCCACCACAGCCTCGACCTCCTGGGCTCCGGCGATCCTTCCACTTCAGCCTTCCAAGTAGATGGAACTACAGGTGCGCGCTATTGCGCCCAGCTAATTTTTGATTTATTGTTGAGACGAGGTCTTGCCAAGTTGCCCGGGTGGGTCTCGAACCCGCGGGCTCAGGCAATCCATTCACCTCGGCCTCCCAAAGTGCTGGCATTACAGGCTGAGCCACCGAGCCCAGCTGATATATTTTAATATTAAATTTTTACAACACTTTTTCAGCTAGTTTATAAATTAATTAATTTCAAAATGGATGAGGCATTAACATTAAACTTTAGCTAATTTTGTTTAAATTAAATATAAGCACTTAAAATAACCATTTTAATTAACTACAAGGCTTGGGCAACTAATCATTAAGAGTGGAATTGGAAACTTGAGATTTATCATTCTGAAACGACTTGTACCACATTTTGAATGAGTTCTTTCCTCTACCTAAATGAAAGACCAGATGTACCTCCTTGACGTGGCAGCTAGTAAAAGATAACCTTTTCTCGGGTCATGTTTGTCAATTTGATGCTGAATCAGAGCAAAGAAATCTGTTTTACTATATTTTCTTATATCCAAAACTGTATTTGCTAATCCACCTCTACAAACACCTAAGAAAAACCCCAGTAACTGAATTAGCATTTATTAATGCAAAGCAAAATGGACATATTTTGTAAAATTTATATGTACATCTATACATTTTTTTACAGAGGAGGCAAGAGTAAAAATCTAAACACTTTTGTGACTTAATTTTTAAAAATTCTATTACAGCCTCAAGAGTAATGAGAATTAATTCTCCAAAAAAGCTTCATTTCATGAATTATGAATATATCTGCACTCTAAATTTTTTTTTTTTTTTTTTTTTTTTGAGTTGGAGTCTCACTCTGTCACCCAGACTGGAGTGCAGTGGCCGCTCCTGGCCACCGCAGCCTTGCCTACTGGGCTCCGGCGATCCTTCCACCTCAGCCTTCCAAGTAGCTGGAACTACAGGTGTGCACCACTACACCCGGTTCATTTTTGATTTATTGTAGAGATGAGGTCTCGCCAATTTGCCCAGGCGGGTCTCGAACCCGCGGGCTCAGACAATCCACTCACCGCAGCCTCCCAAAGGCTCGGGATTACAGGTTGAGCCACTGAGCCCTGCATGCACTCTAAGTTTTATATTTGTAAGAGTAGACACAAAAATTGCATATATAAATTTGTATACTTTTTAAAAAAATCAGCTAGTTTTTACAGTGCAGTGTAGCTACCATTCAGAATAAATTCTGATACTTAATAAATGTTTGTAAATTAACTGAATGAACATATTAATACATTTCATGAAGTATCTTTAAAGGAACTCCCTTGTGAAACCCATTGCTGTTAGAGCCCTCATCTGCTTCAAGCTACTCAATTACAAGAACTGATGCAGCTGGAGGGCTTCGACTCATGGCTTCCAAGGCTGTGCATTTTCCTGTCATCTATCGCTTTCCCACATTCTAGAATTAGTACCAATGTGCAAATCAGTACAAATCTAAGAGCTGCGCCTCTGCTGGCGGAGGGAGGGCGATTTTAAGGCAAGTTGGTAAGTGTTTTCCTTGAACTAAATACCTTGCAATTACTGATTGTCACATTTTTCTTCTGTTGTAAAACTAAACTAATTGAAGGCACTGCCCTTGGGGGACAAGCTCTCAGTGTGATGAATGCTGAGTGCCCTCTCGAGTTTAGCATTTTAATTATTCATAATTATAATGATTTCTGTTTATTTGAGAACTTAGCAAATAATTCCAGCTTATCCAACAAATTGAAAAGCAGAGAGGTTGGAGTTTTATTTCATTTTGCTTCACCTGGAGATCAGCAGCTCTGTGGTTGTACCATGTTCTCCCAAGCAATGTAGCCCGTTTTCTGCCTAGTAGGGAGCATGATTGACGTGTGTCATGTCCTGAAATAACTGGATGAAGTTTTTCAACTCATTCTCTGATTTCTCTAGAATTATGTGGGCAATGTTGGGGTGGTAAGGTGAAGTGTTGACAAGGAGTCAATGGGAAGAACTGGAAAAACTTATGAAAGCCTGCTAATCAGAGAAGAGACAATAGGTACAGGAACTGTTTTTGTTTTGTTTTGGTTTGTTTTGTTTAATTTTAAAGATGTGGGGTACAATTCAGGGTTAGATACACAAATGTTTATATACAGTTACCCTTGTTGATGAGGTGTGGCCCCCCTCCCCTGTCAGTTTCCCACCACTATCAATCCCTTTCTTATAGAATTATGATAATTGTTCAAGGTCTACTTTATGAGTGAGAACATGTGATACTCAGTTCTTTGTTTCTGTGATAGATCACTAAGTATTATAGACTAATTCTATCCAAGTTGCTGCAAAGTTTATAATTGTGTCCTTCTTTATGGTTGTATAATATTCCATCATGTATATTTACCACTTTTTTTAAAAAATCCTGTCCTCTTTCAGTGTGCAGCATGGTTGGTTCCATGATTTTGCTATTGTGAATAATGCTGCAATAAACGTGTGTGCAGTATATTTTTCACTGAGTGATTTGAGTTTCTCTGGGTATATTCCCAGTAGGGCAGTAGTGGGGTCATATGGAAGGTTGATTTTCAGATCTTTTAGGAATCATCAAACTGTTTTCCACAGAGGTTGTACTAGTTTATATTCCTGGCAACTGTGTAGAAGCATTCTCTTTTCCCCACATCCTCTCCAGCATCTGTTGTTTTTTGAGTTACTGATGAAGGGCATCCTGACTGGAGTTAGGTGGTATCTCAGTGTGTTTTTAATTTGTATTTCTTTGATGACAAGTGAGGCTGAGCATTTTTTCGTTTATCTGTTGGTTGCTCGTATGTCTTCTTCTTAGAAGACACTATTCATATCTTTTGTGCACTTTGAAATGGGGTTGCTTGTTTTTTTCTTTTCAACACGTTTGAGTTCCTTATAGATCCAAGATGTTACGCGTTTGCCAGAAATACAGTTGGCAAATATTTTTTCCCAGTCTGTGGGCTTTCTTCCCACTCTCTCAATTGTTTCTTTGGCTTTGCAGAAGCTTGTCAGTTTGATGAGGTCCCATTTGTCTATTTTATCTCTTATGGCATGGTCACTTGGGGTTTTGATCAGGAATTGGTTGCCAGTTCCAATTTCCATAAGGGTGTCGTCTGAATTTTGTAAGGTTTTCATGGTTTGAGGTTTTACATTTAGCTCTTTGATTCATTTAGAGTTGATTTTTTGTGTATGGTGATAGGTAGGGGTCTTGTTTTAATCTTCTGCATGTGGTCGACCAGTTTTCCCAGCACCATTTACTGAATAGGTTCTCCTTTCCCCAGTGGTTGATGGTGGAGGCTTTGTCGAAGATGAGTTGGTTGAGAAATTGAGGTTTTGCTTCTGGAATTTCTACCCTGTCTTAATATAGCTTTTAAAGGTATTTCCTTTTCATGAAAGAGATTTGTGTATATGTGTGTGTGTTGTGCACCTAGAATTTATTTACAGGTAATAGACCCAAGTAAAATATAGATATCTGGGCCATTTGGGTCCAAAATAATGTTTGTGTCAACTGCTATTGAATGCAGATGAGTGATCATGACATATAAGGTCCCTACAACCTATTTAGATGTCATATACACTCTTACTAGTAGGCTGAAATAGTAATTAAAGATTACTTTTAAGAGCTTGACACTGAAGTGCTTTATTTCCCCCACCTCTCTCCCTTTCTTGAATCCCTGCAATATAGCACTTTAGTTTTAAGTCAGACGTATGTTCTGCAGCTAGTGAATGACTCGAGTCTCCCTCGAGTCTATATTCAACTGCTCCATATATTCAAGTAGTAGAAAAGGTAGGAATGATTGATATGGATAACCACATGACTGCCAAAAAGTCAGTCTGGAGACACACAACACATAAAATTTGTAAGGGGTATAACTTTAGCCAATATCACCTAAAATTCTCAGCAGCCAGAGCAGAAGCAAGACTCAGCTATTTGAGTGTTATGTAAAAGTACATTTACAAGTCTGTCTCTGATCACGGGGAATTATCAATGACACACTTCTGGGCTAAGTTCAAATGTGATTTCTGCTCCTCGTTCACACATTGTTCAATGAGGGGACTGGCAGTACCACGAAAAAAAGAAACAGAAAGAAATGTTCTCATCCCCTGCAGTACACTTCTGCCCACAACCAATCTTTAACCACAGCCACTAAGGAACAGCAAAATCAAGCCAACAGAAAGACTAATTGGAAAATCACTTTGCCTCTATGTCCACCCCCAGGTGCTAACATGCAGGGGACAAACCACATGACAGCCAGTAAGTGAGCAGAGGCCATGGACTATCCCCCAGCAAGACAGTCGCCGCTGGAGTCCTCGGGAAGTATCTGAATGTAGGTATGTGTGCGGAAGACTCCATGTGCTCTCACAGTCAGTCAACTGACTCCCCGCTCTCATCCATGCCACATACCCGCTGTCTCCTCAGTACCAGCCACTCAGGAACCCCTGGTGGCCTCCAGCAGGAGGGCTTCCCTCCTCTCTTGGGCTTCTAAAACATTTCACAGAATGACTTGAAACTGCTTCCTGCTCTCTTGCCTTCCTGTGTAGAAACATTCCTCCTCTCAGACACAATTCTTACTCTGAGCACAGAAACCCATAGTCTTTGCCACCCACACTATCTGAAAGTAATTTCCCAAATCCTCCCAGCTGACTTTAGTTCTGTTTTCTCTCCAAGGATAATGTCAAGTCCCATCACAAAAGTCTTGCCAATGTCCCATCCCATCATTTCTTGTTCTCCAGATGTGTATAGAATGAGCAGAGGTACCTATCCTTTGCCACATGTTTGACAAGTTCTATCATGCATAGCTTTTTATCTACATGTGCATATCTCCTAGGTCCTCGGTGTAACAACTGTTGGTCTCTGGGAAAGACAGTCTCTGCTGTGTTTTTGTAACCCAGAATCCGGGGGTGAGGGCACAGACAGGTAGTGGGCAGCTGAGATCATGTGAGGCAGTTCAGGAAAGCGTGAAGAGCCTGGACTCAGTGCAACGCTTGAGTGTGAGTTCCTGCTCTGCCAGTTGCCAGCTGGTGACCTTGGCAAGGCTTCTTGTAAAACTTTCCATTCCTAAATTTCTTCATCTCTGAAACAGGAATAATAATGCTATCCATCTCATTGGGTTGTTGGGATTAAACTAGCCAGAAAGTGAAAAGGACTTAGAATAATGTCTAATACATATTAAACACCTGAAAATTACCACCTACTTGTCACTTTCTATACAGTAATATCTTATCTCAATTAATTTTCTCAATAATGCTATAAAATTGATGGCACTGTACTCATTCTCTAAACAGGACCACTGTGGGCCTGAGAGTTCAGGTCACCACCTAAAATGCTAGAGTAGGCAGAATTGGACCTGATGTGTCTAACCCTATAACCTGGGCTGTTCCTTTCTGATTGCCTCACATACAGGGTCTGGTGACTGGTTGTTATTGGCAAAAATGAAATGAATTTCTCTCTCTTATGATAGTTTTAGACTAAAGGATTCTGAGATTTTACTAGGTCTGGCAATTTAGAAAGTATTTAGCATATGAAATGTCTTTATGTGATGTCACTACTTATTTAATAGGCTGACCCAAATGGGTGGGATCATAACTATTGTGTGTGTGTGTTAGGTCTGCCTCAGAGAATGAAATTCAACTCAGCAGGTGTTTCCATTCTGAGGCACTGAAGGAAAAGGAGGGAGAAAATGCCAAAAGGCTATCCCTACCCTGGGGCACTTGATTATCCAGCTGACTCAAGGGATAACACCAAGCACCATTTTAACCTCCTCCTCCTCTGTTCACTGTGACACTGGCCATTTTGTCTTCCCTCTCTCACTCCATGTGATAGTGTAGGTTGGATACACTGTGACTGTCTACAAAAGCAATACTTTAGGATTTAGTAAAATAGACCATTTAAAAGGGAACTATAAAATTTATGTAAAGTTGCTTCCAGGCTGTCTTATTCTGTTTGACATTATTTTGGAGAAGTTACAAGGGACTCCATTAAACATGACATTCTAGCAACTCTTGGCTCTCTTTATTGTCTAGGAAATTACCAGCTCTTGTTCTGGTCTCTTGCAAAAGTCCTTGGTCGCTGCTAGTTCTTTGGGCATCTTAAGTACTTAGCACTCTCGCTGGGATGTGGTAGATGATTGGTAAGTCCTTGGGCACATTAAATTTTGCCACCCTACTGATAGGGTGTACTGTGCTCCCTTAGCCCACCACTGAATTCCAGAGTACCTTCTGAGACCTTTGTAGACCCAAGGGAGGAGTTACTTTTAGGTGAAGCATCGCCAAGAGATGTGATCGGAAAGACTAACCGCTTTGAACACATAATCTTATTCAAGGTTCTTTTTTATTGTATTTGTTTATTTATAATTTTATTTAATTTTTTTAGAGGCAAGATCTCACTATATTGCCCAAACTGGTTTGGGGCATCTGGGCTTAGGTGATCCTTCCGCCTTAGCTTCTCAGGTAGCTGGGATTATAGGTGTACATCACAGTGCCTGGTTTAGGGTTTGTTCATGACACACATCATTTCATTTATACAGTAGGCATTGTTATTCCCATTTACAAATAAGGAAACTCAAATTCAGGAAGTTTAACTAGTATATTTAAAAATCACATAGGTAGTGAGAAAAACTGTCTATTGCAAGTCTAATTCAAAGACGAAACAAGTGACGTCATAGTCATAGGAGTGGCCTGAGCCCTAGCTAGACTCATGCACCAAGGGCTCTGTCTTGATATGAACTTAAAGTGACCCCCCGCATATAACTTCCTCATGCCTCAGTTTCCTCACCTCATACATTGCTATAACAATCAAAATATTGTATTTGTAAAACGGCTTTGAAATGACCAGAGATGCTATCCACATAAATTATGTTTATAAGCCTGGTAAATATAAACATTGAAGCAGTTAAAAAGTACCCAAATGATTTGAAAACACTGGTAGGCCATGGGAAGGAGGTGGAAGCAATATAATGAAACAAAGACCAAAGATGTAGAAACACAATTCCTGCATAGGGATTCTGGGAAATTTCCCTAGGAGTCTAGTACTAGTGCTGCTCACTTCTCAGTTACTAAGTGGCAGTTTCCCTTGTCCTGTGTTATATCATGTTTTAAAATGTAGGTAAGTTGACCATGATCACTAAACCAAGAACTGAATGTAAGACAAGACATCGGGCATCAGGACTGTTGCATATGGAACCATATGCCTCGTGTAAGGAACAGTCTCATGGCAGGACATTCATTTGGAAATTTGGGGTGATTCTTCCCATCCATCCATGGTTTTAAAGTCCACTTGCTCCTCCCAGAGTCCCTGAAACTCCCCAGAAGCCTCAGTAAGATCCAGCCTGTGGCTTCCCGAAACAATCTCTTGAACAGTTTTTCAGAGAAATTAATGACTCTTCAGGTTGTGGCTGATGACTGGTTTTGACCTTGTAGATGCTGAAGGGAAGTAAACGTATTTGATGAGTTATTAAGCACATGCTTCAGTTATTATGATAGTAAAAGCAGCTCAGACTTATAAAACTCTGAGGTGCTTTCTGTTTCTTTGCACTTAATTGCATTTCTACTGAGTTCAGATAATAAGTCATTAATCTCAGCATACGACATAGTGCATTTACTTAGATTTATTTCTTTCTATTCTTTTGTTTACTCTTACATAAACTTCAGACACCACCTACTAGATTTTTTTAAGAATTGTATTTTAACCTGAATGAGAACAGGCACCTTAGCTGATACTTTAAACAGAATTTTAGGAGTCAAAAATAAGTTAAGCCACTTTTATATGTCTTTTGTCAAAGCCTGTCTCAAGGAGACCTCTGCTTCCAAGATCCACTACTGAGACAGAGAATCTATGATCAATTGCTCAATTTCATCTGGCCAATTTCAACAGTCAAGTATTTCTAAAAATATAGACCTGTGACAATAACACATTTGATTTTTTTAATAGCCCCCTTAGTACTTGCAGTTTATCATTATTGTTAATTATTAAGCATCTTGATGGCAGAATGGGTTTCAAGAATAATGACTGCAGTCACATAGCGACAAATGGCTTACTTGGGGTTCAGTCGTCAGTTAAAAGGCATTTGGTAAACTGTAAGTCATTCTACAAATATTATTTAGAAGGATCATTTTTATAACACCAAATTATGTTTTTCTGCAAGATAGTGAAACACCATAGGGAAAACAAACTATACATCTTTTACTTAAAAATGTTCATGAGCACGTATTCCTCAACACATAGCAGGATATCTGAGAGAAGACTCATAAGAATTATAATGATACCTCCTCCTATTCATAGAGTCCCTGCTGTAGGCTAGATACTTGAAAATGAATCACTCTTAGTCTTCAGAACAAGCTTGCAATGAGATTTGATTATCTTCTTATACAGCTGAGAGAACTGAGACTCATGGATAATAACTAGATTAGTAAGCTAGTAAATAGTAGAACCAGAATTCAAACCCAGATCTTTTAGATTCCTTGACCTGTGTGCTTTTACCCTGAGAGAAGTCAGGAGGTGATGAGCAGAAAAGAAAAGTTCTCAGACAGAAAAGTAATAATAGCTCCCATGTATGAACATGCCAGGTACTGAGTTAGGTACTCCCGGGGACCTAAATTCATTATCTTAATAAACAGATCAAAAGATTTCACTCATCTCGGGTTCTTCAAATTAATTGGAGATTAATATTCCTGTTTGCCTTATGAGGAGTTTAGGCCTCAAGGTATTGAAGGATGGATTCAAGATGGGACACCTAGTAGGGAGCAGGACCGAGCTGCAGGTATGGGTCTTGTCCAGTTCTAAAATCCATGATCTTTCTATTACAGAACATTATATGCTAAACCATAGGTCTGGTTGATAAAATAAAGACTTGAGACTACTACATACTTATCTTTTTTATTTTAAATTATTCTCGGAATGATTTCAGTTTATTTAAACAATGGTTGAGCTTTATGGTAGGAAGGAACTTTCAGATCATATTAGTTCAATGAATACATACAGGTGTGCTGCCCAGGTTTGTCATGAAGTCAGATTCTCATGTGATGAATCCCTTGTTCTCATCTAGTATTTCACAGTCAGCAATTTCATTAAGAATGTAAAAATGAAAGCAAATTCATTAAACTCAGAAAAACTGCCTCCCCTACGCAAATTGCTGATTTGAAACACCACAAGTCATAAACACAACTGAATAGTTTTTACTCCAATCATGTAAGACATCTTTTCAATTATTTTGGGTGAAAAAATTTAAAAGATAATGTTTATTACCTGATAAACCTACAGCACTTTGCAGTCATTCATTGAGAAAGTATCTACTGATGGTAGCTTTTTCCCTAACTCCATGCTAGGGACATGA